TGTATGGCCTATATAGGTATGTGTGACTCGCAAGGGTATGGTTTTTCAGCGGTTCTGGTCTGAAAAAGGGCATAGATTCTGACCATTTTGGTCTGAAATAGGCTTAGCATTGGGTATTCTCAGTTTCAAGGAACTATTGTTTCCTCATTAACGTTGGGAAATTTGCAGCCCTTCTCAAATGTTTGCAGCCCTTACTCAAATGGAAGGCATTCATGGCTAGCAGCGGTCATATTTTAGAACTGTGTACTAGCGTTAGATGTCTGAAATGGGGCATTGATTGTTCGCTGAAAAGGTCTGAAAAAGAGTACAGGTTTCAAGGTTTGGGCCGCAAAACCCAACAAAAAATTTGGGGCTACCCCCCCCCCCGGAATTTTGAGACAGACGTTCAACATTAGATCAAAATATGAAACTCCTACTTTGAAAAGAAATTAACCCTTAGCTTTCGCCACAAGTCACACCACAATTTCGTAAACGTGTTAACACGATCGAATTACATTTTACAGCCATCACAGCACAGTTTCCAGGCTGTGTTGATATATTTCAATGGGGGAAGATTTGCATATGTGTACAAAGTTGCTGAAATAACTGCAAGCTAAGTTCTTTTACACCGCAATTAACTTTGCGCCGAATGAACACAGCCGTAATATTGTTATCATCGATGTATCGGAAGTCGACTGACGTGGCAAAAAATTCGAACTCGTTTAGCACAAATTTCTCAGGGTAGAAAAGAGAACAATAAAGGGTGCGACATCAAGAAAACACAGTGAAGATTTAAATAACTGTTGTTTTTCAGTTGAGTGCATCTAATTGGTACGTGAGAATATGCGTATCCAAAAATAAGCTCTGCAATGTTGGGTGTCAAACACAATAAACTGAGGTCAGTCACTGTCATTTGCGAGCCTGTAAATAGTTTGGAGCACAAAAGGAATAAAACCCCAGAGTATAAATTTGGGTTAATTCTGCTTATTCTTTAGTCATAACTTGAAACGAGAAACGAGTTAAGGAAACATTTCGGGCATGCTTCTTCTTCAGTGCTTATTCAACGTGACTACGCACTCGTGGGGTGTAAGAGGAGTTGGTGGGGAGATAGGGTACCCGACAAAGTTTTATACGGGGAGCTACGTCCTCAAGTCCAACCCTTAACATCAGTTATAAACCATTTTTGACAGAAAAGATAACCCTTTCATATATCTTCCATGGAAAATGGTACTTCTTTCACATACCCGCACTAAGTGCGGAACATCCCTTTTCCAAAAGCTTGACTAGCCCCTCATGATAATTACTGGGGCACTCAGCCGTTAGCTGCAATTGTTCGAGATGTTTTGAAAGAGCGTTTGGAATAACTAAATGGTAGTTTTCCGTACTCTTGTCTACACTCCAGTTCGTGAAGTGCCTACACCCTTTCCTTTGTACACCTCCAGCCATAAAAAGGTACTTCTTTCTAGCGGAACTGCTTATTCACCAAAAGTAGCAAATTCGATATTTTAATAATTGCCTCTTAGCTTAACGATAGTTAATTATGCATATCTTGGCCCTCTGCTGTCTACTAAACCTAAAGGAAAACAATATAGCTATAGAATTTGACTTTGTTTTTAGCATTGTTTGACCCCCAACAGAAATACCCAATTGAGCAGATCGAAGAAAACCTGGCAGGCAAACGGTCTAGTGGCTAATTCACAAAGTCTTTGTATAATCGGCCCACGATAGTCCAACCATGCGTATCTGCTTTGCAAACACGACCACGAAGGGGTCGAATAAACTCCAGATCATGATGTTCTCGATGACTGATGAGGCAATCTTAATCTCTGGTTGCTAGCATGTGATCTGGTTCTAGAATTCCAAACGTGCCCAAGATAATTTACAGTTGGTAATAAGATTCTCTACCTTGCTCTCGGATACCTCTGCGCCTGCCGTCGCTGCAGTCAGACAGAGAAATTAAACGATGTACCAGGCAAGATGGAAGTTGAAAAAGCTTAATAACTTATATGTGGAAGTCGAATAAGACAAAATTTGTCAGTGAGTTGCCTTATGTTATTATTCAGCCTCCATAATGGTTTTTTTTTTTTTTCGACAAATGAGCCTTATGTCTTTCTTTCACAATATATAATCCACAGTTTGACAAATTACAATGGGTACTTGAAAAAGTGGGTCAAAGGTTAGTTTGGCTTAATGGGACAAGTCACGTTTTAGTACCTCAAGAAAAATGGATCACTCGGAATTTTTCCTGTATAGCTATCCGACAAAATTTTTCGACGATCAAAATAAGCCAATCACAGCGTGAGATTGACGCCTGACTTTAGACATTGTGAATGTTGATAAAACGTCGTAGAAACGAATTAGAAAGCAGTTATCTGAACAGCTTTCTTTACAACCAAGAGAAAACAACGCTTTATTTTCTTTCTTCACGCAAATAAATACTGAAAATGGAAAATTACAAAGCCAAAGGGCAACAAAAAGAAACATAGCTCAGTTGTAGCGTGACAAGAGGAGAGCCCGTCAAACAACAGGCCCTAATGGGCTACTTTCGATATCTTAAAATTCAGCTTGCATTGATAGCGAGGCCCAGATCGAGGCACAAACAAGATTAACGAATAAACATGATCATTCAGTTTGTTTGACTCGCGTAAATAAATCACTTACTGTCGTAGAAACATCTGCTCTGTTTACCTGCAGAAACGTCTGCCCTCACCATGCATGGCCGCGTTTCATATACCCTTAATAGGAAAAAGATTTTAATCAGCTTACCGTTAAAAAAATTTAATCTCCCATCTGCCTTATCTGCTATTACACTAAAGTGAGAATATTTTTATTAGTTGCAGAGAATAAGAGCTGAGATAAGTTTTCTATTTTCGTTTCGGATTGATTAGTAATCTAAGGCAATTTTTGCATACCGTCGCATTCAGTGGAGCCGTATGAAGAGACTGACAAAATATTGGATGGATGTTTTTTTTTTCTTCGCGCATGCAATCCTAGTAGCTATTGTCATTGCTAAAGAGATGGCAAGATTTGCATGTCACCCGTGTTGAAAAATATCTTGACTTATTTTTCATTAGCGGCTAGCGGCTAATGGCTTTCCATAATCACTGATTTCGTCCCCTTTATAAGGTGGCAAACTTGCCCGTAAAGTTTTCTAAATTATACGAACAATAGAATTATATAATACTCTTGTTTATAGTCATTTTTTATGTTTAGAAAACTAGACG